GGTGGTGTAATGGTGCTCCCCCGGACTCGCAACCCCGGACTCGCAACCAGAAGGTAGAGAGTTCGAAGCTTAAATTAAAATTCGAAGCTTAAATTCGCATAAACTAATATTATAACAGCTGGTGTATCAAGGACCATGATAATAAGAAAACTTAATAAGCTAAAATAAAATATACTCATTTGTAAACCTTGCAAATTTTCTGCAGACTCTAATATACCATGTTGACTACTGCCTCAACATCGTCAGTCAAACTAATTCCAGGACCGTCCGTGCAATGCTAAATTTGAATACGATAACACTCTTTATAATTAATTATAGCAATACGGAGTTACCAAACGCGTGGTCCATTACCTCGTTTTTACCAGTTCTGGCACACATACAATAGCTCAGATGTTATAATCACTCCTAACAGTCTTCTATAGTATATTTTAAGATTCTAAAAGAAATATAAGTCGAATATGAAAAAAGGGCTAATTGTTTAATAATTTAGTAATGGTTAGTCATAATTGGGCATATTCATAATAAATTGGGCATATTCATAATAAATTGGGCATATTCATAATAAATTGGGCATATGCATAATAAATTGTTCATATTAGCCGGGACTATATTGTCTTCAAATACCATACATATAGTAACTTCTTCCAACTTGAATTAAGAAAGTGCCTAATGTAATTTTTTCTGATTTCGGCTATCCTAGCTGCAACCCATATCCCCATAGACGGGCTTGCTGACCGAGGCGAGTTTCTGTCGACAAGGTTAGCGTTCTTTGGTCGAATATAGGGTGCGTCCGTTCTATAAAGCAGCCTTCTAATGGCACTTTTCGCGACAGCGTAACATTAGTAGCTGAATTGAACGTTACCAAACCTGCAACAGTAGTGTATTTATGTATGTATTATCAATTAATTTAGTCCACCCCTTCATCTTTAGATGGCTGTGTTTGTTTAATTAATAATGACTTTAATCAATTGACCGAATACAACAAATTCGTTCGGTAGTTATAAGTTAATATAGGAATTGATTACCACGCTATGAGACAAATTTCTGCTAAGTACCTGTAACACCGATATACATGTTGGGGAAATGTTCATCATGATCTCCCCGCATTTTTCCCGTGATCCACTGTAGCATGGAAATGAATTTGTGATCTTTAGGTGCTTAAGGTCTGGAAATACGTGTACATACAGTTGGGAACAATAAAATATCCAAATAGGATACAAAATAACGGAAAACTGATGATTTATAAAGGTAAAATCATAAGTCATAACTTTATCTATGTCAGTTACCAATAAAAGACAAAAGCCATTCCTTATCCCCTTTTTCTAGTAGTAGGCGACCCTATAATTAGTTATCGAAGTTTTCAAAGACAAATTTTTAAGAATTCAGATGAATACTTTGTAGTACTTATAATATCTTTTCAGGCATCGATAATAAGGCTTTCCAAGAAATTAACTCCGAGCATTTGCATTCCATGTGAATGTCGCAAAGTAAAGCACTTGAACATGAATGCTAGAAAGTCTATGAATTCTTGAAAACATTGTTCCGCAAGGGCCGTTGAAGGCGTGAGGGTTTGGATAACCATTAAGTATCTTCACCAAAACTACTAGCAACTAATTTGGGGAGGGAGGGGAATGATATTTTACCTTCATGATTCAAAAAGCGTCCATTTCAGCCCCCACGTCGTGAAGAACAAACGTTTATTTCACTTGACGCCTGTTTTATCCCGTCCTAAACGCATTTTCTGCATTCTTAACATCAACTTGCTTTAGTGTAACCCTTTACCGTATCCAACCCCATCTCACCCCAAGCCACGCACTTGGGGTGGGAGGCGGCTCTTATCAGATTTCTCTCTATTTGGGGGACACCACATTTAGCATTGTGAGGAACAGACCAAATGCTCCCCACACACCATCCTCCTTTAAATACATCGTACATTTGATTTCACCCACGCAGGAGGTCACAGAAATTGCAACACACCCTGAGAAATTCTTGGGAAAGGCTTTTTTGCTCCTCCACATATGGACGAAAAGCTACCGTATTACTGCTCCCTTACTAATAAGTAGTCTATAGGCAGTGTGAAATCAATAAATGGCACGTTTGAATTGGGGATTGGTCGATGTTGCACTTTGTTCAAATGGAAACTCAGGGACCATAGCAACCAACCACATAGGAGCCTTTTTTCTCTTTGGCCACCTTCAGTAGTAGTCCTCTGTTCTTTTCGTGTAACCTAGTAAGAACTGTCATTAGAATAAATATTTTCATAGAAAAATTTGTTGTGAAACATTTGATATTTGAGAATTTAAATATGGTGTTTTCATGTCCATCTAAGTTTGAGTTTTGACCCAGATAAACTCTGAATTTTTTTTATTAACACGAATTACTTGACTCATTAAAGAGTTGCGACAACAAAAAAAACTTCAAGGACACAAAAAAACTCAAAACGTCAAATAGATGGACAGAAAAGGATAGTTTGTAATAGTTTTTGCGCCAACCTTTATTTTTCGTTTTCTTCTATTTCTACCGTCTCTTTTTCGTTTTCCCGTTAGTCCCCTCTCTATTGAGATGGATTTCGCTAGTTTTCCAGAGCATCCATTTTCTGATCTAACAAGGTATAAGTTTAGATTATATATCATCAATTGTACATAGCAGGTCACCGAATAAGTGATATTAGTTAATTAAGGCAGCGACATTATCATAAAATATACCATCTCTTATCAAACCTTGATGGATTGATTTCTTTAAATCCAGAAAAATGCAAGTCTGAGGCGAGGAAAATGTGATAATAAATCAAACGTTCATTAGAATAGTATAACTAACATTTTCAAGTGTTACAAGGTTACAGATCACGTTAAAAATCTCTACTGCAATTTATACCGTTATATTAATGTATCGCAAAGTACTGTTATCAAGCTGACAGGCTGAACTTCTGAAATCAAATCGAAGCAGTGGAATCCGTGCACTCCACCGACCAGACCACCGTCCAAGCGACACTGTCCAAGCTGAGATGAAGTCAAACAGTCCAAGTTGTTGTCTAAAACTGCACCTGTGCTTACAGAATAGAGTTTGAAAAAGGGTGTACAGAATGCTGTATCGGAAGAGATCGCAGTAAAGGAATGTCTCATCTTCGGTTTGTAGGAACGATAAGAGAACCTGTGCGATAAAGTTGACCTGATTTTTCAGCAGTTTTTGAAGCGATCCGGGTGGGGAAAAAAATAAAGGGAAAAAATCAGAGCGACAGACGAGACCAGTCAAAAGTTTCGCTAGGGAAATCTAGTACCGTTCAACAATAGTAGTAAATCCAAAATATTAAGACTGTGTGAAGAATCACAAAACTGTTTCATATCTTCCAATCGATCACCTGAAGATCGAGCTTATCCATCAGCGGTTGGATTGTGGAAATGAAACAGAAGCCAAAAACACAAAAACATTATTATATCAGAATTGGTAGTATTTGTAGTGAGTACAAGATATAGAGATGATACATAATAATTGTGTATACGTCCATAAGTTTTTTACCGTTTTGATGATTTTAAAGAAAAATTTCGAATAGTACTTTTGGGTCTAAATTTTTTAACTAGTATATTCATATATGAGTATCTAGTTTTTTGGATTATATCGCAATGCACCGCTTGAAATCGGAATCGTTTATTTTAATTTTGATTGTTTATATAAGCGGGATAAAAATACTTTATTTTATTTCATTTCATCATTTTAGAATTTGAGTTGAAGTATATAATTTGCACGGTTATAAATAAAAATTGTAAGAGTTTCTCTATGAATAGGATAAACGACAATTTTGAATAAAGAATAGTCCGGTTCTAGTCTTTAAAATGAGGACTCTTTAAATAAGCATAAATAGGCAGAGAAGTTAACAATAATGGGCTTGGTGAGAATTGAAAAGTGCCATAGATGAAAAGTGATGAAAAGTGATGAAAAGTGATGAAAAGTGAGAAAATGACGAAAATGATGAAAATTGATGAGAAGTGAGCAAAATGATAAAAATGATGAAAGTGAGAAAAGTGAATAAAAGTGATGAAAAGTGATGAAAAGTGATGAAAAGTGATGAAAAGTGATGAAAAGTGATGAAAAGTGATGAAAAGTGATGAAAAGTGATGAAAAGTGATGAAAAGTGATGAAAAGTGATGATGATAAATCCAGCAACTAAATCTGTATCTTTACTTAATTTTGATGAAATTTGAAATTCTCTAATCTAGGAACAAATCGCAGTTTACGCGCACACAACGATCAAAGTAACATGTTGTGGAATAAGCATCGCTATCGCCTTTGCGTAATTTAAAGCGTCCAAAAATCCCCAATGTAAGTTATGATGTGTCTGTATTCATGTACATTTTATAAAGAACAACACATTATATATAAATAAGTTTTCCGTATAAATGTATTTTAATTAGCTTATTCCGATAACAGATCTCGCGTAAGGCCGAGCGTGAGTTTGAAACGATTTTGTTAGTTTGGAGGAGCATCACGGCTCTCGACAGTCAAAGTACAAATACGAAATGAAACTAGGCAAATGTGATAACAAAAATGGAAATAATACGGACATGTGCACCTGACGTTTCAGCACTTACTGGCCTTTTACGAAGGATATAATTTAAAAGTGAGGGCAGTCCCGCTATAAAAGAGGGGGACGTGTAATTAGGTCGTAAGCTAAAGTAAACACGTATTAGAGTGCAGGACTGAAAAGGCCCAATTAGGCAGACAGCAGATTGGAAAGTGATATTGTTAGGTGATTAGTGTAAAGGATCTAATTAAACATAGTGTATTAAACCCTGATAGGTAAAGTTAAAACACATTCAAGCTGGCATGCTACAGATTGCTAGTAAAAGGTAAAAAGGAGGATACATCGCTACTCGGTAAACCCGTTACTCTGCATATTGTTAAGTTTAGGTTTATTGGTACTAATAAGCATTCCCTCATTGATAAAAGTTTCTAAAGTGTCTTTACATTTTCTGCAAAAACTACGAAGCTCATATCCCAACAGCATGACTGTGCCGAACAGTGCAGACGGTTTTCAAGTTTCACTCGACGTCGAGAATATGTACTCCACACTCCCCACCGACGACAGAGCTCTCAACGTCATCAAGAGCTACATCGAAAAGAACAATGACCAAATAAACATGCTCGGCTTCAGTACATCACATATCCTCTCAATGTCGGAATTCGTACTCTCCCACACATACATCAAATCAGGGAACAAGTTCTATCTCCAGAAGAGAGGAATAGGGACAGGGTCACACAGCTCCGGAGCATATGCAGAAATACTTGTGGACCACACCTACAAAGTCGCAAGTCAGAAGACCAATCTACAACCAGAGTTTATTGCCACCTATGTTGACGACGCATGGCTCTTATGGACTTCCTCACTGGAGGATTTCGAGAAATACAAAGATGCTCTCAACTCTGTCTGGCAATCCGTAAACTTCACCTACGAGATGCCGGTTAGTGGGAAACTCAACTTTCTGGACCTAACCGTAGAATTGATGAAGACCGGAGAAATCACCCACCAACATTATCAGAAACCAACCGACTCAGGACGATACCTCCATCACGAGGCCCACTGCAGTCACATCACCAAAACGAATATAATCAGGTCAGAAACACGCCGGATCATTCGTAACTGCAAGTACAAAGAAGATTCCTGGCCGCACTTGGAGACCCTGAAACAGAACCTAGTCTCAAAGTCCGGATACCCCACCAAATCAGTGACGGCTCACATGCTCCAGGCCATGGAGCAAATGGAAAAGAGGGACCTAACGGACAGTCAGAAACCCACAGCACCCTCCCCCGACTACGTCCTCAAGATTCCATACATCAACGAAGGCTTTACCAGGAAAGTTAGCTCCACAGTCAAGAAAGCGGGAATAAACGCCAGAATCGTGACCCAAGCTGGCAGATCTGTTAAAAGCCTTATCAGTGAGAAAACAAAGAAAACATGTGACTGTGAGCTCTGCAAGTCAGGAAACGACTGCTTCACCAGTCACTTCGTTTACCAGGCAGACTGCAACACATGTGGAAACCAGTACATCGGAGCCTCAAGGAGACCGCTGAAAAACAGGCTCAGGAGCACGAAAGCAGTTTTAGATTGAACAACAGCCGTACTACGCTAGGCCAACACGCAGCGGAGCACCGCAAAGAGAGCAACGAAATATACCGCCCCAAAGCGGGAACCAGGGACTTCGAGAAGTTTTTAGAATTTTACAACTTCAATATCGTAAGAAAATGTCAAGACACTTTAGAAACTTTTATCAATGAGGGAATGCTTATTAGTACCAATAAACCTAAACTTAACAATATGCAGAGTAACGGGTTTACAGAGTAGCGATGTATCCTCCTTTTTACCTTTTACTAGCAATCTGTAGCATGCCAGCTTGAATGTGTTTTAACTTTACCTATCAGGGTTTAATACACTATGTTTAATTAGATCCTTTACACTAATCACCTAACAATATCACTTTCCAATCTGCTGTCTGCCTAATTGGGCCTTTTCAGCCCTGCACTCTAATACGTGTTTACTTTAGCTTACGACTGAATTACACGTCCCCCTCTTTTATAGCGGGACTGCCCTCACTTTTAAATTATATCCTTCGTAAAAGGCCAGTAAGTGCTGAAACGTCAGGTGCACATGTCCGTATTATTTCCATTTTTGTTATCACATTTGCCTAGTTTCATTTCGTATTTGTACTTTGACTGTCGAGAGCCGTGATGCTCCTCCAAACTAACGAAATCGTTATTCCGATAAACAAATTCTGATTTTCTTGCAGTCAATTATATACCTTCTCATATAATACTAATTGGAAGCCAAAGACCATCAGACTTGAATTTTCATCAGGGCCATGATCACTTAAACTGCCGATGTAATATTATAATGGGGGGGGGTCAACCTCATTTTACCTCATGAGGCCAGCCAAAAAAGGCAAAATTGGGATGAGGTAAAATGAGGTAAAATGAGGTAAATAAATCTAGTTTTCTAAGCCTTTTTTTAGAGACAAAAAAGGTTTATTCGAAGTCATTATACTATAATTCGAGGCTGTGCATGGTCTCCCATGATATTTAATGGTTTATTAGGGGTGATGTGGTCCCTGGGAAGGGGCATTCCCAGTTTAACCTACTTACTCTCCAAAATTGGGGTAAATAAAACTTCGCATTATAATTATTATTTATGAAAAGAAAATTGCACATTTCAATTTCCATGATCCATTAGGAAATTGTTAATAGCACTTGCTAAGTTTTGTAAAGGAATTAGCAATAACTTTAGTGTCACTTTGGCAGTTGCCAATTTATGGGGATATTTCCGCATTGCATGACATAGACCATTTAAATAATATCTTAGTTTGATATTGCGATTATCGAGTCACTCTGAAACAAATTGTGTCTAACTAGACCAAATTTAAACAACAGTTGTGCATGGAACTGGATTGGATATCTACATGAATTTAGTCGAAATCAGGAGGTGACCGGGATTGGCAATTTTGAGCTATCCCGGTCCCGGTCAAATGCTGATTTATGATCCCGGTCCCGGTCCCGTTCCCGGTTAATTTAGGATTCTTGGTCCCGGTCCCGGTCAATCACTCAAATTTGCCGGGATTCTGACCGGGATCTTTTACATAATTTCATTCACTGTGATTTTAAGTTTTTCCTTTCATTCATTGTGAATTTTATCTTTAAACATCCTCTGAGCCAAATAAAACAATGTTTAAAATTGCTAAACAAGTTTGAGTAATAAATTATGATCAGCAATCGACCAGAATTCCCGGTACCGGGAATCCCGGTACCGGGATTGGCAATTTTGAGCCATCCCGGTCCCGGTCAAGTCACATTTTGTATCCCGGTCCCGGTCCCGGTCAGGCCTGAAATCATGTCCCGGTCACCTCCTGGTCGAAATTGCATCTAGTGAAAGGTCATTTCATAATAAATTACTCATATAAACTCATACTTCATACAATTCTAAGTTCTTATCATGTACATGTTCAATGTTCATGATTCGCTGTAGAATAAAGGGCGGTTCACAAAACCACTTTTCGTTCAAATAATTAGATATCACCTCTAATTAGTTGCTCTACAGGATCAGGAACAACCAAACAATATTTTGTGTCTACGGTTTCGTATAATACTGACTTGGGCCACGCCCATATTTATTACCAATTTTTAACAGGTAAAATTATCTAAATCGTCAATTTAGTCACGAAGGAGTTTGGAAGGAGTTCTAAATGTGTGCTCCTCTACTATAAACAGTAGGAAATGGTTAACTTTAGTCGAGGTTTCAGGTCTCTACAATGTCGGGAAGTTCCTGCAGGAATTTGCGCATTGCGCTGAAGCGCAAGATTCACTGCGCCAAAAGCGAAGGTCGTAGAGACATGAGACCTTGACTAAAGTTAACCATTTCATACCATTGCTATCAGAGTATGCCACTTTCAGAGTCCTGAACACACTCCTACAGCTCTTAATCGTCAATTATATGAATTTTACCTGTTAAAATATATCATCTTTAACTGATATCAATTTAGTTTAAAACACTGTTAGTTTTAAAAAAGAACATATTACTTCACACCAAACTAACGCACAATATGATAATATAAAAAAGGAAGGTTTTCCTTGGATTCCGAATTCAACTTTGATTATATCCTGGCACTGATTATCATTTCTCGATTGTTCTCCATTTTCCAATGCAGTCAGCAAGTTCCAATTTAGGTAGACTAGGTTTTCGAATCTTCATATTATGTTCAGAAGCAGGCCAGAAGGGGTTGTTACCAGAGGAATGTCTTCTTGGAACAAGGAATTAATGAGGTCTTCATTTATTTCTTCATAACTCGTCACTGACAGTCCGGACAGGATGAGCATTGACGACATCCACTGATTACTTCATAGCTCGTCACTAACTGGATCAGCATAACATGACTAATAACTAACGAGGTCCAGTGATCTCTTGCTGATACGTCAAAACAAGATCAGTAAATAGCTATAAAATCGAAAAAAATAAGCTGAGAAATTACAGAGTACAAATGCCTTCTTCACAACTAACTCTTTGGCCTCATCTTTTTAAATCACTCATTCCCTCTGAAACAAGATAATGCTTAGGACTAGGAGGAACTTAGTTAACTTCTTGTATAATTCGGTAAGAGGAAAATTCCTTAGTAAGCTAACATTCTTTTGTAGGATGTTACCACTTATCATATCTGTTATCCAGCATAATCCCACAACTAGACCCTCTTATTCTGGAGTCTTGACAATGACAGCAGCAATGTACACTATTTTGATGGTCCAGGTCTCCAAGAAAACCTTCCTCTAGCTCTTTATATTCTCATATTGTGTGTTAGTTTGGTGTGAAGTATTATTTTCTTTTTTAAAACTAACAGTGTTAAACTAAATTGATATCAGTAAAAGATGATATATTTTAACAGATAAAATTCATACAATTGACGATTAAGAGATATGGGAGTGTGTTTAGGACTCTGAAAGTGGCATACTCTTATAGCAATGGTATGAAATGGTTAACTTTAGTCAAGGTCTCATGTCTCGACCTTCGCTTTTGGCGCTGTGAATCTTGCGCTTCAAGCGCAATGCGCAAATTCCTGCAGGAACTTTCCGACATTGTAGAGACCTGAGACCTCGACTAAAGTTAACCATTTCCTACTGTTTATATTAGAGGAGCACACATTTAGAACTCCTTCCATACTCCTTCGTGACTAAATTGACGATTTAGAGAATTTTACCTGTTAAAAATTTTTGCCGAAATTTACCTCATTTTACCTCATGAGGCCAGCCAAAAAAGGCAAAATTGGGATGAGGTAAAATGAGGTAAAATGAGGTTGACCCCCCCCCTATAATGTATGGTGAACATAGTTGAAATAATTTGTCCTTGTAAATGTATTTTAATTAGCTAATTAGCTTAATCCGATAAACAAATTCTGATTTTCTTGCAGTCAATTATATACCTTCTCATATAATACTAATTGGAAGCCAAAGACCATCAGACTTGAATTTTCATCAGGGCCATGATCACTTAAACTGCCGATGTAATATTATAATGTATGGTGAACATAGTTGAAATAATTTGTCCTTGTAAATGTATTTTAATTAGCTAATTAGCTTAATCCGATAAACAAATTCTGATTTTCTTGCAGTCAATTATATACCTTCTCATATAATACTAATTGGAAGCCAAAGACCATCATACTTGAATTTTCATCAGGGCCATGATCACTTAAACTGCCGATGTAATATTATAATGTAAGGTGAACATAGTTGAAATAATTTGTCCTTGTAAATGTATTTTAATTAGCTAATTAGCTTAATCCGATAAACAAATTCTGATTTTCTTGCAGTCAATTATATACCTTCTCATATAATATTAATTGGAAGCCAAAGACCATCAGACTTGAATTTTCATCAGGGCCATGATCACTTAAACTGCCGATGTAATATTATAATGTATGGTGAACATAGTTGAAATAATTTTTCCTTGTAAATGTATTTTAATTAGCTAATTAGCTTAATCCGATAAACAAATTCTGATTTTCTTGCAGTCAATTATATACCTTCTCATATAATATTAATTGGAAGCCAAAGACCATCAGACTTGAATTTTCATCAGGGCCATGATCACTTAAACTGCCGATGTAATATTATAATGTATGGTGAACATAGTTGAAATAAGTTCTCCTTGTAAATGTATTTTAATTAGCCTATTCCGATAAAACAATTATCATTTTCTTGCAGTCAATTATGTACCTTCTCATATAATATTAATTGTACCTTAATACCATCAATCAATATCGAGTAAGTCAGTACCTTAATTATAATCAAGACTGATGTATTTACTGAAACCAACCTTTTCAACATCGAGTTTTTCAAATCTTTCAGACAACGATACCAAATTTTGCACCCTGTTAACAGTGAATGTCTTTAAAATTTGGCCACGGATGTAATCTACGTCGTAAGACTGATACATTCTTCCAGTGATGAGGCACCAAGCATTGAATAGGGAATGCACTCCACAATTCACAGCGTCATTTTGCTGCTTGATGTTAACGATCTTGATGTTTTTCGCTTTTGGTCGTAACTGCAACGCAGCAGATGTGAGCGCCCC